CTTCGTCATGCATCTTGCCGCAGTTTGACAATTGCACGTAATCAGCACTTTCTTAAACTCATCTCTCCATCGGGATTTCGGTCGTCCAATCCGTCTTCGCAAATATGGGTGCCATTCCGTGAGCAGTTTTGACCACTTGTTTCTACTTGAACGAGCCATTTCCCAGGCGTAACTCCACTTCCTTTCTAAGGCTTTCTCCACCACATCCTTAACTTTCGTCACCCCACGTAACCAGGCATTTGTCTTATGATCCAACCAGATAACATTTTAAGGTGCTGCAAAATAAGAACCGAAGATGATGACGAGGGCCAGAACTCAAGAGCAACTGTGCTGCTTCTGCAATATCCCTCAGAGGCCGCGCATTCCCACAGAACATGATAAAAACGGCCTAAGCGTCCCACGTTAGTTTAATACAAGCAAAACGCAATTTCCTGATGCGAATAACATTTGAGGTGTTGCTCATGCTTCAAAGTCCGAATAGAAGGTGATGAAGATGAAGGCTAGAAATGAAGAACAACGAATGCAGATGTAAAACAAAAATGAAAAAGTTAAGGAAACACAAATCAACAAAATCGCGTGTAATTCCTTCAGTTCGGCGCGATTCCGGCTCCAAAGCCATAGAAATACTTTAAACTTACGAGTGGGACGACGACGACTAAAACCAGATTCAGGTGTTGCAAACAAAAGCCGAAGATGATGACGAGGGCCAGACAAGAGATGAAGATGAACAAGAGAGATGAAGTAAATCATCATAATCGTAGGCAATGCATGCTAGTTGTTCGCGGTCAGCCGCACGCGAGGAGTGCAATTCCCACGCTAATACAAGCGCATTGGTGCGCGCTATTTTACGACCTGGAGCCAATTTCAAGCCAAACACTCGAAAAGTACCCCTCTTTTGAACACCCATAACTTCGTTGAAAGTAAAGCTCTCGGAGAGGGAAAGTGGGAATGAGTGGAGCTAGGTTGGCTCTTGTTACCTGAGTTTGAGCGATTTCAAAAACATTTCTTTTCTAGGAATTTTTCTCCGTTGTGATCCTCTTGTGATCATGGGGGCCAACCACAAGTCGCTACGCTTTGGACATCCATGGCAAGCTTCATACAAGGCCTTTCGTAAAAAAAAGAACTGTGCCGGAAGCATGAAGCTTTCTACTTTCCAGCAAACTTTCATTTTCTCCCTAGGCCTGCTATTCGAAAAAATCCCCCGTTGTGATCATTCGTGATCACTCCCCCACGACACGAAAAATCAACCCCTCCGAGGCCATGAAACCTCCAGTTGGCTTGAAGACTTTGGTATGCTTCTAAAACGCATGTTTTCGTCAAGTATATCAGGTAATAGTTCATTGGGCTCTAATTGGCATCACCTCTGCAATGCGCCATGCATAGGGCTTTCAGGCAGAGGTGTTGGGAAGGTGCAACTTCTAGATAGGGCTTCCTAAGCGCAAGCACATGTGTTCCTGAAAGGTCTGAAAATGTACTTTCATCTGTTTATTGATCGTCACGTCGTGAGTCCTTTGGTTTATTTATAGATATGGTGCCCTTGTGGGCGGTCATCGTAGCTCCTACCATCGCCCCTTCCTCGTACGTATTGTCAGTATGCTACACCAGCGCCAGAGTGCTGGACGTGCTTGGGACGTACGTAGGTACTGCGACCCCCCCCCCGCTCGACAGCAAAATTTTGTAAAAAAACCAGAAATTTTTTGGGAAAAAATAGACAAAGTGGTAGGAGGTTGGAAAAATCTAGGGAAGAAGGTAACATGGGGAGGGGGTCGTACTTGAAGATGGAATTAGGGGGGGGTCGTATTTTTCAGGAAATGATCACAACGCAATGGCCTAAGAATCCTAAATATTGGTTGAGCCAAATCTCTAATTCAAAAAAATAGGACAAAATTCCGTCCCAAACCTAAATTGCCAATGATCATCTAAGAAATCTGACCACATATGTGTTGAAACATTTGCTGATGTAGTTCAGCACGCGTATTTCTAAAATTAACAAACTTGCCGCGAACTCAACACTTCCGTTAAAAGGTTGTTTCATGCAAATACCACTCTGTTCTAGTGTGAGGCACATCCTGTATAGGGCGTATTATTCAGAATGTCGCGAGTGTTCCTCACTCTTTTGTATGCTTTGCTTTTGTATGCTTCTTGATTGTTTTTATTTGCAAGAATGATGCGTATTCAATAACATGCGCTTGAGAACCAACTGGAACCTAAAACTACGCACAAAAGAAAGGGGAACTGCTGATGTGTCTTTCGACAATTCGTGCACATTGTCGGGTGCTACTCTGTGAAATGCCCCTTACACTCTACAAATTGGGATACTTTTCGAACTTCAGTTTTTCTCATCTGACGGCTAATTGTTGCTCGCTTTCTTTGCAACTGTTTACCTTTAAAGTAATTCCTGTTTCGGTGTTTTTACCACCGTTATTCATTCGCAATCTATGAAATTTGTGATGTCGTATTTTGTTAGCTCAGCCCACGTACGTGCTATAAATGAGAAAAAAAAGTGTAACGAACTCCATGGCGCTGTCCTTCGAAAGTCCACTGATATAAAGAACCCGGGGGACTTCGGTATGCGTTGTGCGGACGGCGATGTCTAAAAAATCACTTTTTTTCGACAAGCACTCGAAACGAACCTCACAAAAACATTATAGATTTCACAAGTGGAACAGTAAAGAACTTTTCTAATGAAAAATACGGCGCCGTTTACATCTTATTACCACTGTTTTCCAAATATGGACTAGATGTGGTTTGAATTGACTCTCAGTCGTGGATCGCTCACCACATTCAGAACGATTGGGCTATCCGCTGGAAAATTATCTACTACAGTGGTTCGACTTTCTGGTTGCTAATGCATCTTTCGACGTGGGAAACCTCTATCCCCACCACAGTCCTGTGGCGCTTCAAGTATTTTCGAGCCAAACGGCTGTAGCGTCCATATGCACGGCAGAGACTACCTCTCAGAACAAATAATTCGGGTCTATTCAATTACTACCACCTAAAATCACGAGAACTTCATTCGAAGGTTCGTTCGTGGGGACTACGTCCAGTTTGACGTCTGCGCTAGCTAACGGAGCATCACTCCGGAGCATTGACCTCTCTGACCAACCGATGTCCACTTGCAGCTGGGTCTAATCAACAGTTTTGATCAAATGCCACCCGTCACAATTACCCGGAGCCGTCAAAAATTAGACGTAGATAATCTTAACTGCTCATCCATTGCATGCGAAGGACGCAAAATATGAGCGCTGCTTTACCTTTCAACTGCCTCACGATTTCCGCAGCAGATCTTTTGTTTCTCAAGGCATCCTCCAAAGTCATGCCACGGCGGTTGTCAAGCCCCAGGTAGGATTCGCAGAAGTTCACAACGGATGTCTGGCAGAAGAAAGGCGATTTCTTCGCTAAAAAATAAATGATTACGATTTCGATAACTTCGCATGAAATGAATGAACTCAAAAGGCAATATGCGCTGCGCATGTCAAAGCTGAGAATAACACCACTGATAATCTCTCACATCGGGGCGATGTAGTTTAAGATTTGACAACATGGCTAGGGGTCACTCGGGAGTGGGGGAAGGGGGTTCCACCTCGTTGTGCGGTACAAAAAAAAACTGAGTCCCGTGGCCGCAGTGACTTATCTTCGCAGCGCTGCCCATTGCATACGTCGCGCGACGGGTGTGGTACTTTACTCCCGAGTAACGGCTCCTTACTCCCGAGCAGCACGGCGACGCATCAGTTCCCAATACACCCGACGTGCGCCAACCCCCTCTGTGTCAATGTCGGGCTAATCAACCAGCCAAGAAAACAACCACTGCTGGTGCGCATCCGACCCGACACTCTGAAGTAATTGCAGTTACCACAATCCTGCGACCCAGCACGAAATCGCGAGAACGCGACAACGCCTTCTTCCCCAAAAATGGTCGCGTATCCGTTCATTGACAGGTTATTCGGCCGTTTCGCCCCCGCAAGAAAGCTAAGTCCCCGGTGCAGGGATCGGCTACGTCACCCATCTCTGTCCGGCGTTTGTGGCGCGAACCGCGCCGATGTTTTCACCCACTCAGCACGTTCCCGACGCGACTATCGCAGACTCAACCAAGGTACTTGTTGCTTTTCCGTGCCCTTTCTCTAATCCCTGCAGCAGTCTGTAGAGTATAACAATTGCCTAATCTGCCCTACCACACGCGCGAGATGGTCGCATTCCTGGCCCATGCCACCTCAGCGGATTCTGCCTGTCATCCCAACGATACCGCAGCATACCCTGATGGAAGCTTGAAAAGAGAACAAAAAAGAGAATCGAAAATCCCATACCTCCGATCTGTAACATTGCTAGAGCTTCGCCAGCTGATTCCACCACACGACAGTTTTTCTCAAATCCACACTTCACCGACTTTTTCCTTGCGTGTAGGGCACGCCTCATTCCTTCGCAAGCGCTCGTAATGCCCTGATGTTTCAAACATTATGTGGTCTTCAACTAAGACAACTATAGTATATTATCCTCAAAGCACGTCTTGCCCTCCTGCTTCACAACCCTCAGCCCTTCTGTTAACTTGGCGTGTAAATATTCACCATATTATCTAGATATCGCCCTTCAATTTATAAGTCTCCAAGCGTTAGTCCACAAGAATCCTTCAGTGCGCGTAATGTACTTTTTGTTTCCGCTATATGCTTCTGCTTCCCCTCTTTCTCGCTGTCTGAGAATTGAACCTCGCGTCATATTGCGGTACACACGCGGCCGCCATTGTAATGGCAGTTCTTCTCACCTTATCACTGATCTACCGCCAGGCCGGTAGTTCACACATTGCTTGAGAGCCGAAACACTTCAAACACATCGAATTACATCTTGAAATGACGGCTTTAGATAAACGTAGGGCTTGCGTGGTACCGCCCAAGCGGTATAGAGACTTTACGGTTCGTCGCACAGGAATTCCGAGCGCAGCAGAAAATGGAGACTATCTATTTCGACAGTCACAATGGCTAGATAAATCATGGCTAAAGTTCAAAGAGTTTCACAGCGTGCTCTGCATTCGAGCTTCTGACCTAGAATGGTCAACAACCCGGCCATTTCCAATGCGGTGCACACCGTTGTACGCGTCTTGGGACGGTGAACTCAAATCTACCTTCAGACTTTGCGGAACAATTCTCTGAACTGAGTTATGGAGGGTTTATTCCCGCGTAGTTGTTTTACATGCTATTGCAAGGAAACGTGGAGGAGTCCTCGAATATATATGGAGAGTCGTAATGAAACGTGGCACAGGGGCAACCGCGTCTTCCAGGGAGGAAGTCGCGGGATCGTTTCCCGTGATGACGCTCGATTTTGCACTTTTCCAGAACATGGCCGACAAAGATTCTAACAACGCAAAAACTTCCGGCGCAAAAACTGATCGCAACTTCCCTTACAGGCCTGTACTAGCCTGTAAGGGAGCCTGCGATCAGTTTTTTTCTTCGAGAGTGTAAACCGATTGCGGCCTGAAAGAGTGCTTGTGATTGTCTCCCTCGTGACAGATGTCACAAGGTTTTTGCAGTTTGATATACATATTCGTGTTCAGCGGGTCTAATCATCTCTGTTAGCAGGTCTCTAGCCGAATCTGGTATTTCAACCTTCTCTAGCCAAATCTGGTATTTCAACCTATCTTGGGAAATGTGAGCTCTTCTAGGGCTAATTAGCAGCAGACTGGAGCTCACCTACCATCGATAATTGATGTCAGGGTGGAATTTCCTCCCGGTAATCAGGAAAATGATGCAGGATTAAGTGAGAAAGGAATTATTTCTCGCGTAAAAAGATGGCCAAAGAGTCAGTTCGAAGAACAGCCAGTAGGCTACTCGTAGTATCGCTGTTGGTCACCAGTCAGCCATGACTAACGTGAGTCCATTTTTCGAAGTTGAGTCAGAACCTCAGATTTCGCTGGAGGGTGGTCGTTAGAGGCTATTTGCCACCTTGAACACGAGTACGGTACCCCTTTTGCACAAGGAGTGCTGTGTGTTATGCTACGGAGCCAATGCTTCGGCGCCAGCGTGCTTTGAAGAAAAAACCGTGGAGCAAAACCTCCGTAACTCCATTCAGAGAAACGTTCCACAAATTTTGAAGATAGGTTTGAGTTAATCGTCTCGGGGCACAAAAAGAAAAAGCGATGTGCACTTCATTGCAAGTGGCCGGGCTCCTGACATATCCTGGTGAGATTCCTCGATCATTAAGAGAAAGATGATGGTGCTTCCATTGAAATGTGCTTCAGCAAAACGATGACGAAAGAAAGCGTGATGCGGACGCAGATCGACTTTGGAATGAGCCAAGCAATCCTTTTCCACTCACAAGGGAGATCGTTCAGGGCGTGCCTCGCTTTTTCGGAGTGGTTCTTTGCTCTTTGTAGGGCCTTGCCCATGAACCATAAAAGTGGGCTTCATTTTCGCTGAGCGGCCCTGGAATGCCAAAAGAGCGAAAAAGAAATCCATGGAAACTGATTATTTTTGAGCCTCTACGAGCTGTAAACCGCTTGAAACTTTGACCAGTTGCTGAATGGAGGGACCCTATAAAGGTACTATCGGAATCGAAAAGTAGTCGGGGTATGGGGTCTTACTTGTGGCACGTAATCAAGCGTGAACGGCTTCATGGAATGGTTTCTTCAACGATCGGAGGAATCAGCAACAACGATCGGATGGCCTAGTGGATAGCGTGGAGGATTCTCAAGCGGACAGTTGGGGGTGGGGTTGATGGTTCGACTCCCCTCGGCGTGCGAGTTTTTGCATTTTTTATGTTTTGCTGTTTTCGCGTTCAAATATGTCTGTGCGTGAGTATGCGTTCGATAACTGCCATTTATGGGCACATTAATGGGGATACTCCATGAATAGGTGCTACCCAATTTTTTTCAGGTTTTACATACCATTAAGCAAGACCGTAATTGAAAGTTGACCTTTATAGGTCAGACCATGCCCGAATCACGAATATGGAACTCATTTGTAGCTATGGTGCCATTTATCGCTAATATGGAGCCACATGTTTCTTTCAATGAATGCGTTAGGTACACACATATAAGGGACGTGTAGCTATACACTGGCGCCAATTTATATCGGGGCCGAAAATAAACGTCAAAATCATGATCAGCGCGATCGATTACCTCTGTAGAAAAACTTTAGATAAAAAAAATTTTTCCGACTTTTTTGGGTGTGTGTTGGGTTGTGCCCGACAGTCTTTCTGTAGAAGTCTACAGTGCCTCGCCATAGGGACCCCTTTTTTATTAATATCCAAACATAAAACTAACAATATTGATGAATTTCACGCAGAGGAAGGAAGGAAAGTATTCCTCCAAGGTTGGCTTGAAAAGTTGTGGAACCTGAATGAGTGCAATTTCGGTCTCGGTAGGAGGAGATTGACATCTTCATTGGGCGAGCAGGCGGCAGGAATTGGCAAAGGCCCAGGATGTTTTTTCACGAATGCTACGGGAATGTGAGACTCCGGTCACCACTGCCGACCAAATGGTCCACCACAACCCGAAAAAATCGAAAAATTTTTTTGGCTGGAAGTTCGTCCATAAGGGTAATCGATGGTCCTGATTACGATTTTGACACTTATTTTCGACGTCGACGCAATTTGGCGCCAGTATAGCGCTTAACGTCCTCATATGGGGGTACATAGACGTACTTTTCGCTCCTTTTTTGGCGTTCCTGGGGCCGCTCAGCGAAAATGAACCCCACTTCTGTGGTCTATGTTCAAGCCCCTACAAAATGCAAAAAACCATTTTGAAAAAGCGGGGCACGCCCTGAACGACCTTCCTCGTCAGATCGCGATGGTAGTCACAAAAATATGGACATATGGAAGATTGGACTAGTATGGGACGAACAACTAATTGCCCCAACTGATGGGCTTCTCGTTGTATCTAAACAAATTTGTGGCTCGCTGCACCGTGCACACAAGATTAACTCTGCAACGGACCCGTCAGTTAACATACCTAGCTACAGCTTTCTGAACGCTAGCGAACAACTCACTTTTTCACCATTCCAGCAGATGTCAAGATCTCGAGAAAACGCTGAGTCTCCCTAATTTGCTCGACTTCCCCCATTAAAGTAGGTGCGAATGAATGTGTGAATTGGATCTCAACTTCTACCTGAACACATGAAGCAAACACTTGTAAGACCTGTAGTAACTCGATATTGCGTGTGTGGCCGTACCTTCACACATGCCGTACCTAGCTGTCTCTTGGTATTCGACGAACTAATGTCGGCTGCAATTCATAGAATTTAGAAAAATTACCAGTCAGCTCAGTTGAAATACACAAAATTCAAGGCTCAAGGCGAGTGGTGAGCAAAAAAATTGAGAACAGATAGCTTATCAAAAATGGAAACTCCGATTAGCGGTAACGTTTGGAACACTGCCTTCGAGCCTTCATATACAAACTAGTAAATTCGCTTCGCTCACAGGAGTAATATCGAGCTTGAATAGACCGTCACCACTTTCATTAGGAAGAGCCCTCTTCACGTATAAACTGTTACCACAGTCATAAATGAAGGAGTACTTCGCCGACTTTGGGAAAAGATGTTCGTTTTTCTTCACCAGTGTGTTGAACAAAGACATGCAAACGCGACGCCGAGATTGCACAGCGAAGCTGAAAGTAACTGTTCATGCAAAATTTAGCGAGCGCTGTGGTACAAAAAAATGTAGTCTGAATCATACAGTAGCGAAAAAGAAGATTTCGAATGAGTCGATAAAGGAGCTTTCAAACGTTCGACTAATTCGAATTTTCTTTATAATTTTTCTTAGAGTCAACACTTATAGAACAGAAGTGAATGATTTCATGTAGTGACGTAGTAATACTCACAACTTAGAAGGGGAGGTGGTAGAGTGGAGTAATGGAGGTGGCATAGTGGCAAGTGGCGCCATTTACGGCGCCCGCGACGTGGGGCTCAAACCTCCAGCTCGGCTCCCGTACGAGCCAACCAAGTATACCATCTTTCAATTACTAGATAAATTGTACCATGCTGGTCTGTCTAGAGAATAAAACACTCGCTTACGTATTCGCCAGTCCCCCACCCCTCCCTTAGAACTGCACAAGCCACATAGCAATCAAAAGCAACTGCTTCTAAACTAATGCAAAACGAATGCCTCCAAAAACAGATTGAGAGGAGGCAAAAGCTCCAACGTTCCAGCCGACTGACGCAGTAATGTTATATTGTTCCGCGGGCAATCGCTCCCGGGATATCCTCCGGTGTATATAGCTACATGTTCGACTGTCATGTCTCATCGAAGGAGCGTGAGACTTGCCCAAGTATTCTTTTGCATGACCTTCTCTGGCCTCTCTTATAATTATGTGTTCCTTCGTGGAGTACCTTCGTACATCATTTAATCCAAAAGGATATGGCGTCATCAGAAGTTTGATCCAAAATAGTTCCTTTTCTACTAATGTAGTTTTATCGTTAGACTTCATACAG